TATATGAATAATGTGAAAATCTTAAACGTTCTTATCTATTTAATAAACTTTGTTGAATTATTAACAACCATTCAATGAAAATGAGGATAAATTAATTGTCGAATACTGCAAAAATATGACAGATAAAAATAAAAATGCAATACTTATTATATTTCCAAACGATGCTTCCGTAAAATAAACGTAAATGATTGCTACGATGTACCCGTTGACGTAACATTTCACCTGTTGTTTCATCTTTTCCTTCCTCATCAAATAATTTCGCATGTTTTTCATCTGAAAAAAATTAGCAAATTAATCAATTTTTTCCCAACAAAACAATAATGTAATAACAATCGGTAATAATAATAACAATTAATAATAATAATAATAATAATAAGTAATAACAATAAATAATAATAATAATGATAACTAGTAATAAAGACAATGAATGCCTTACTCCAACGTTCAATTTCACGATAAACATCATATAATCCTAATTGCAATTGCTTTTTAATTGATGGTCCCAAATTTGCTTTATAAACCCATCTTTGAATAATTTGAATCACTTCATCTAATTTTCTCCAATGAACATTGGTCTAAAAATGAAATTAGAAGAAAAAGAGGTGTAAAATTATGAGAAAATTTTAAAGTCAGAGCTAAAGAACAAAATGCTTGGTTGCATTTATTTTTCTTCACATTTCAATCATCCAATAGTAGTGAAGAATTGAAAGTTAACCTGGAATAGCACAATAGCGATACATCGTGTAGAAATGAATTTTAATGATGGTACTTCGTTACTGCAACATTCTACACTGATATCATCGTTCATATCACCCTGATAATATCTATATCTTACTAATAATCTCCAATTGCTTCACTTCAATTAAATTTTTTTTTCTTTAATTATTGAAAATCTATAGGAATAATTAAATTTAAACTTCTAGTGGGAGTTTTGAAAGAAATACTTAAAAGTAATCGAAATAAAAAAAATGTTATTATAATATACATTTATTCATTGTATACTTTACTGTGATTAAAATAATCAATAAAATTATGAAAATAAAATTGAAATTTTAATTAGCAAGCATATGAAAATGAATTAATAAAAATATGAAATGATTTTTAAAAAAAATAATAACGAAAATAAAAGAAAGAAATTATTAGTAATATGATAAAGTAAGGGAAGAAAAGGAGAAGATGCAACTCCATGTGTATTTACAAACTCTGTTTAAAAGCTTTACAAGCCAGTATGAAATGCTGATCCGGTCTGTAGCAATTCTTAGCTCAATACACACACATACACACACACACACACACACACACATACACATACACATACACACACAAACACACAGATACATACATACACACACACACGCACACATACAAACATATACAAACAATTCTGAAAGATATCTAAAATTTCTTCTACTTGTCAATTCTTCCTTACACTACTCATATTTCAATGTAAAAATATGCAATTAATTATGATAATTAAAATGAATTTTCATATTTATAAAAATTCATATTTTTAATTGAAATGTAATTTCAGTTAAAAAGTAAGGAGCTTTTTTAACTCTTTTCAATTCTAAAATTACCATTAATGCAATAAATATCGTTCAATATTTAATATAAATGAATAATTCAATTGAACAGGTAAAAATAAAAGATTATCACTGGCTTATTTCGAATTTAATATAATAGAAGTTTGAATGATACATCCTCAAATGTATTTCACCGTGATAAAAGCGATTGAAAAAAAATAGAAAAAATTGAAAATTGATGATTTAATTTGTGTAGTAGGCTGGCTGAATGATAAATTAGAATAATATCCGATGATATCGAAAATTTAATAAATATTTCTTAAATTTTTTGTAAAATTTTAAATATTTAAGCAATGATTTTAGATTTGGTTAAATGAAAGAAATTATGCGTTTGTACAATTTTATAAACTAATGTGAAATTACTGAATTATCATTCATGATACATGGTTTCTTCATAATATTTAAAGAAAAAGAAATTATTATCAATACGATCACATATGTCAGCCAAATCTAGCATTCATTTGTTACATCAGATTTGAAAATTTAATACAGCGAAATCAGCAATGTGGTACTTACTGATCTGACGATGACAAGTTACGTTATCACGTCATATAAAATTATGCTTGTCATAAACTACGCCAAATATTTCTCACTACACTTATGTTCTCGACTTTTTAAGTATCACTGTAACAGTGCCAAATTAAATTGGATTCCAAAATTAAATTCGATGAATATCTTAAAGGTACCATCACCACTTAGCATTCTTAACATATTATCTTAGTCAATTAAATTTTTTTGGTCAATATTTTACTTATTTTTAAATTAAAAGATGAATGTTATAATATCTTTTGACGTAACGATAAATTTGGGACATGTGTAATGTTGTGTGTGACTGAACGGTTTATTGTAAGTGAAATGCGTGAAGTGATTAATTGGTTCGCTCCGAAAGGTTTTACAACAAAAACGATAGAGAATTATTTTGTTATCACGAAGTGAAATAAAGATTGGAACATTATTTCGTATTCCAATTTTTTTTTCATCTTCACTCTTTCTCCATTTCTTTCAATGTTTTTCAGTTGTGCTTCCCGATGTATTCCGGATCTATGAAAATACTGATCTAGTTCTTCAGCAGCAACGAAATCTTTCCATTAATACGTTAAATGCCGGAAGCTCGTGGCCAAAAGAAGACGTAATATCAATCGAAAGCTCAGGTAGTCATTTGGCTTTACTAGCAGCGTTTTAAGGACAAATAATTCTGGTTCTTTTCTCTGATCCTCAATTTATCGCAATCATTTTCTATTATTTTCGCACCACTAGGCACATAATGTAATCCTCTCATTTCACTGATGACTAGCCTAACGTTTCCTTTGCATAATATATATGCCATAAATAACTTGATCCGCATCATCATCATTACCGTGTGATCATCCCGAAGTCCTCCTTTAGGCAGCCTTTTTTTATCAGTAATATCTTTCACGGTCTGCTAACATTTGCATTTTGCGCATAAATATGATTTAACTGCCCGTATTTGGACCAATTTTGTTATGAATGGTCTAATTGCCTTCATATTCGTATGTTTATTATAAGTATGTGCCTTTGTTATAATGGTTCCACGTCTTTTGTTTCCTTCCGCATCTTTTCCATGACAGCTTGTGTAAATATAGAACCACTAGCTAAGTAATGAGTAGAATATTCATTGCCTAATGAACGGATTAAAATTCAAATATATTGCTAAAATAGCCATTTTGCTATTGACAGCAAATGAATTGGCTTTGTTATGAATTTGATTTTGGATTTTGAAATCTTAATTCTACACTTTTAAATATTAATAAATAAATTAAAAGTAAGGATTGAACGATGAAATATTGTTTTCAGAAAGCTTGGGAATAGCAAAATGGAAGTGGAAGTACAACTTCGGCCTACATTTACCCTATTTCAGATGATTTTCTACTCGTTCATCCCTAGCTCTAGTCAAGGAATATTTGACATCATCGGGAAATCGTTTTTCATAGGTAAATTCTCTTCATTTGCAAGCATATTTTCATCAATCTGATCACATATTTACGCGATATTGATTTAGCATTAAGGAGTATCCTATTTAGTGCAAAGTTTGTTTACACATGCTTTATTATGTTTAAGCAAAACCGATATTTTGGATATTTTGGCATAGTTTGATAAGATTTGTATATTGATAGTTTGTTTTTCTCTTCCAAGTTATTTTTTCAGATATTTTTATTTTTTCGTTTTTCTTTTTCTCTTATCTTCGTGAAATGGAAAGATTTTAATATTAAATGAAATATGCAATGGAAATAATCTACACATTTCCGAAATTGAATTTATCATTTAATATTATTTTCTGTTTGCAGACAGAAAATTTTGTTTGGAAAGTAGAAGAAGCACATATTTTTCATACTATTTCATACTGCAATCACTGAAATTGGAAAGAAATTGAATTCTTTTTCGATTACGATTTTAAATATCATTAAGAGAAATTCACACGGAAACAGAAATTCCTTCCGGAAGCAGAAAAGAATCTGTTGAGTATGCAAATGAATTATTATTGACCCATTTTTGCTTTTATTTGAAAAAAAATTATGGATCAAAATGTGAAAAGAAAGCGTATTATTGCAATGCAATAAAGAGATTATCTGGAAGATAAAGAGAGGAAGGGAAGGAGAGAGAGAGGGAGAGAGGGGTTAAACAAAAGGTTGATTAACACCCGACAGCGGTAAAGTAGCAAGAGACCAGAAGGTGCTAATTATTTTGCTTTAAAAATGTTAAAATTTTGTTTATCAAATAGGCAAACGGAGGAGAGGGAGGAGATAAAGAAAAGAAAGATATGAAAGACAAAATGACATATGAGATCGTTTTGCGTTGGCATACATCCTTCAACAATTCATCATTTAGCTAATTTTTGACACTTTCTTATAATTAATCTTTTTCATGTTTATTCAGTGGAAAAATTTGGGTCAACAGAAATTTCCATCTATCGTTTTTGAATCTGAAATTAATCAGAATTATTACTAAGACATTGTGCATCATTTATGTAGTCTTACTGAGGACCGTTTCATTTCAAAATTTAAATGAAAAATGAAAGAGATGGAAGATGGGTAGGATTGCTATGTGCCAGTTTTTATGGGTGTATCTCTTAGTCAAATTCCGTGGGTATATCGTTTTGTTCTAGCTTAGATCATGTTTTTCGCTGATCAAGTAGAAAAACTAATCAACGGGAAGGGATTGAAAATGCTGCACATTGTTTAAATCAAATGATGAAATCTATATGTATAGAAAAGGATTGTGCATATCGCGCCACCCTTATTATACACATATAATTTAATATGTGGTTGCATAACATTTGAAAGTTGTTGATTTTCTTTTTTGACCTATTCGAAAAGAAGTAAACAACTCAACAAAGGTGTAAGTGTGACTGACAAGTCATAAAAGTAACATTTACCAAAATTGCTAAAATTATTGACATAGTCTGCATCCAGACGTGTGTGTATAAATGGAATATTGAATACAGCTATCCGAAAGCTAATAGTCGCAATCGTGTAAAATAGGTCTGTCTGAATTCGGGCAATGAATAAATTAAAATTTATGAAGACGAAATAAGATAACTTTTAATTTGATCAAATTTTCACTTATTATATTAACCTTTATTATTTAAATAAAATTTAAAATTTTTGATAAAAATAAAAAGCAAAAAATTGGAAATGATTTCTCGTACTCGAATAAAATTAATCTGCCAGAGAATTCCGCTGTATTGCTATTTGTGAAGTTGGTTACATATTGGTTACATATATATATATATATGTAATAATCGTATTGATTTAAAATTAGAGAAGAATTAATGAAGCGGTGAGGTAGCCAAATTGACAAACTGTTATCCTTTTGTATTTCTTTTTGTTGAAGATTTATTGAGAAATTTCTAATTGCTGAACAAATGTAATACTAATACAAACAAGGATGTGTTTACGAATTTCAAATAAGTATGAGAGAAATGTTTTTATTGAAGGGTGAAAAAAAGAAACAGTGGCCTGGACTTATGCCAAGTTTAGTTTATTTGAATGCTGATCAATGATCAGTGAAGAGGGAGGGTGGAAATAACTGGGGATGAAAGGGTAGAAGAGCTAAGAGGGAGGGAATTGTTTGTTATGCAGACGTAGTTGAAAGGCTAAATAGGTCGAGACCGCGGAAGATACCAAACTGTTAGTCATTTTATAAAGGTGTGGAAAAGGTTAGAAAAATGTTTGGATATATTTTCATCATATATGGATATATTTTCAACTTATTTTTACAAGTTTTATTATTGATGCCAGAAGTGTTCTTAGCAGTGGGTTCGAGCATATATACGTACGTATTTTGTACATACCTTTTTCTGAAAAGCTACCTTATTAGCATTGATTGCATCGAGTTGAAATATGGACACACATACACATACACATATAAATATATGTTAATACATAGATTACACACGTACGGGCAGAGAGAGGTATACACGGGCGAACATATGTACATTTAATAGGTAACAACAAATTGCTCGTTATCATTTATTAACTCGCTGTAGCAATGATAATAGATGATGGTGTTATTCTTATACGTATATAATATATAATGTATGTGTGTTATTTTGTCATTGCAATTTCATTAATTTTGTATCAAATTTGAAAAGGAAAGGAAAGAAAAAGGCAAAGAATTTTTCACTATTTCTCTTTCAATGTTGTATTTCGACCAGTTTAAATATCACAGGAAAATATGCACCCATATTTCTCTGCTAAAAATTTTTTTCTTTTTTAGCAAAAATTTTGGTACATTTCGAAAAGAACGAACAAGTCGACTTCCTTTCTTTAATTGAAATTACTTTGGTTTGTATCGATATGGGTTGTAGGTTAGAAGTTTTGCAATGTATCAAATTTCCTCAACTCGTTTCTTTTACTTCCACCCGTTTGTCTCTTCCTTACATTGTACAGCTATTTGAGATTCCATGGATTTTTGTTTTCAAATTATTTCTCAAAACTTCGAATTTAAAATTAATTTAAGAAACAATTTTCATCTTGATGTTATTTGCGCTATATGGCATGTACATATATGTACTATACCCATGCCCGTGTTTTTTTGCTGTCGTATGTTTGTGTGTTAACGATCGATGATGACATGACTGTTTTGAAGGTAATGCCATCAGAAGCAATCTGGAAAGACAACAATATTATTATAAAGATATTCCTCACCTCTAACCTTTGGTTTTAACTTCAACTTTGTAAAATACTACTTTTGGTACTGCTACTAGTACTACTATTGTTGTTACGATAAAACAGGAACTGCTACGACTGCTACAACAGCAACGTTATACGATAACTGCTTTACAACAACAACAATTACTACAACTATTATTATAATAAAACAACAGCAACTATTACTACTATAACTACTACAACACCAGCAGCAACTATTACTATATAATTCTCAAATGTTTCGAATTTTTTCCACCCCACTTCGACCACTTTCCTTTTCCTCTATTTCCGAATATATTTAAAATAAAAGACTTTTCTTTTAATTTGTTATTGAATTATTTTTTTGTGAGTACTATCTTCCATTGACAGTATTTCTATATTTATTGCTAACAGTTGTAAATAATTCTTTGCGTCAAAAGTCGAGATGATATGAAACATTCGTGGTTATCTATGGGTTCATTACAGATTTCTGTATTCATCAATGGTCTAAAGAAATAGTATCGGAAAATTATTTTCTTAGATTTATGAAACAAAAAATATGTACGACTGAGATTATTAAGCCATATTAAGGATGTATTAACTAATTCATATAAAATGAAGTTGGTGAAATATTTTATTTATTACAATTTTGAAGCAAATTTTAAAGTAATTTTCTTAATATTATATGACATGTATTAATGTCATACGGAAAACTCAATCAATAATTTGTTTAATAATTAACAATAACGACAGATAATCAAGTATTTATATAACTTCATGCGAGAGCACATATTTAAAGTAATCTGGTCGACGGGTAATTAAATATTTCAGATTTTAAAGAATTCCATATCCAACAACATGTATTCATTAATTTCTCAGATTGATGCATTTCTATAATCGTTTTCCAGGAAGAAATTATTACACTGTTTATACATAGTTATCAAATTTCATTTATTCTCTATTTAAATATGGGATTTATATTTTTCCAAAAGAACTTTTGGGATGCTATTTATGATTCTCTATTTCCATCAGC